TCTGAAGGATTTTCTCTTTTCCTCTCTTAGGGTCTCTATCATCTGCATGAAGTTGTTTTCAAGGTTGCTCCCTTCTGCTTCATTTGTGTTGGGATGTTTAGGTCTTGCTGGTATAAATTCCTTAGGCTCTGGTGGTGTCATACTGGTTTTCCTTCTGTTGGATGTGTTCTTATATTGTTGTCTTCTCATCTCTTCTTCCAGTGGGTGCAATTGGTGTCTCTTCATTTCCTGGTGTGTATAGGTCCAAGGTTCTTTTCCGGTGGGTGCAAGAGGGTCCAATATTCTGATGGGTCTCAAGGTGGGTGCAGGAGGGTCTGAGGCACTCGCTCTCCAGGTGGGTGGGAGCGGGACTAGCACAGAGATATCAGCAGACTCTGGGTTGCTTGGTCCTCAGGGGCCACGTCAATCTGCCTGTAGACCCCAGGACGGTAGTTCCCAGAGTGGGCAGCCGGAAGTTGGCCCCAAGGCAGGAGCTGAAGCAGCTCACCTCTGCCCTGAGTGGGGCAGGAGTAGCCCAGCGATCTCAGCAGACTCGGGGTTCCTTGGTCCTCAGGGGCTGAGTCGATCTGCCTACAGACCCCAGGACGGGAGTTCCCAGAGTGGGCAGGCAGAAGTTGGGACATTATTTCAATTTTAAGATTGGAAGCTCTTCTGTGTAATAACAGGGTCTGCTAGGCGAATATCAACATCCTGTTTTAGCAGCAATAGTAGCAAGGCTTATCCTGTGATGGTTCAGGGAGGCAAGAATTCTGTGTTCCTTTACTCTTTCTTAGATCTTAGTTGATATAGACTCCTGTAACAAAAACCAGTCAAAATGCAAACATAAGCAAAACAGACATTTCTTAACATGACTACCTGCTGTATGTGTAGGAAGTAGTGATGGTCCCTACCACAACAGCAGACTTGAACAAGGCCAATTTTGTACTTAAATATCATCCTCCCTGAAACAAACAAAGATGCAGGTAAAGGCCTGCTCAGGGAGATGGTCAGGATAAGAAGGGAAAACAAGAGCTGCATTTATTGCTTTTCCTTCTCTTCGTGGGGCAAAAAGGGAAAATGCTTATAAATAGCGATTGCCTTTGAAGATGTACATTTCTCTCATAAAAGGGTGACTTTTACTTTTTCATTTGGTTTCTACAGCTGCCCATGTTTCTTGTGTTTCTCAAAAGGATTAGTTCAATATAATGATTATAGAAAAGGCTAATTATGGATGGTGTATTTTGGCCTCTTGCACTGGAATTTAGGAGTTGGTCTTTTTTGATGGTATTTGTGGGTGGCTGTCTAAAACTCATTCAATGATGGTAGGGGAATTTATGCAAGTGGGAAGGAGAAAAATGTTGCTATGCTACCTTTGAAATGGGTGTAACCAAAGATACATGTGCAATAACTGAAAGTTGTTAAGTAAGCAGTTTTATATTCATAATTTAGTTTAGCCCTAGAATTCCTCTGTGGTAAGGTATTAGCATTTCCATATTACAGAATGATAGATTGAAACTGAAGAAAGCGTAGTTGTTTTTTTCTGGTACTACTGGTGGTCAAACCTAGGATGATGTGCACACAGGATGTAAAAAGACTTATCATTGTGTCGTGGAGTTCCACTCCAGCCAAGGAAAGTAGTTTTTCTTTTGATTTTTAACTTTCCCAAATTATACAAGTAACAAAAGTGTGAAGGTACATTCAAACACAGTTTGTGTTTCTACAAAACCTATGGGACTGGGCACTGGTGGTTCACACTTTTAATTCCAACACAAGGGAGGCAGAGGCAAGTGGATCTCTGTGAGTTCAAGGACAGCCTGGTCTATAGAGCAAATTCTAGGACAGTCAGAGCTACACTGAGAAACGCTTTCTTGAGGGAAAAAAAACCCTATGAGATTTTATTGTTCTGTATTGCCTTTCCACAACTACAAGTACAGAGGAAGTTTAATTCTTGGAATGCTAGAATATTCACTTTCTTTTGTTGCTTAAACAAATACAATGGCTGTGGGCAGTGGATTCAATCTTAGGAAAAGGATAACCACAATCAGGGAGCAAGAGTGGAAAGAAGTTTATTACTTGAATAGTAAGTGGTTTAGGAAATAATTGGGTATATTTGATAGTTCAGAGCCTTTCTTTCTCAGTTCTTGGTGAGCTTAGCTTTGAAGGGCTAGAGTTTTGGAAAACACAAGAGCCACCAAAGCCAATGACTTTCTAATTCTTGTCTTACAAATTTGACAAGTGCAGTTCATGAGCCACAGAGGGCATATTATAGGAAGAACGGGTCTCCAGGGGCAGGGAACTGTCAAGGTGCTACTCTGGGGACATTTCAGAGGTATAAGCAAGTAAATATGATGGTCAGTCCAGTAGGTCACCCAATAGGTGGCATCTAAGCACCTCCTCTCCGTCTCAGGCATTTCCTCCTGCAGAGCTTCCAGGCAAGCCTAAGAGGTAATAAGAAACCAGGAAACAGAACTGACTTCTGATGTTCTTGGCCTCCAAAAAGGACATTCTTAGTACTGCTGTTTTGGAGGCTAACGCATACGACATGCTCAAGCAGAGATCACATATCATATGTTTAACAAAAACACACTGCCAACTGCCTCTAGGTGGAGAATTTAGCACAATAATAAGTAAAGTATACTCAAGGTCAACTGGAATGAATGAGTCACGGATTAAAGTTTCTCTAAGAGCTTTAGCTAAAACAGTTGCTCAACATACAGATTTGAGAGCTGAGGGCATTCAAAGATCAGTAGCCCTATCACCACACTGCCACCACATACACTTGGGAACTTGCCCCACAATGTCCCTGCCTGTCATTTATCTTTACCACACACAGCAGCTTAGAATAGGACCCATCCATCATCTTCCAGATTGGCAGGGCAGATGACAAGGTTTGCTTGTCTGCTAGACTCACATGTCTGAAATCATGGTGCTGCCCTGGGTGCCCTCTTACTAGAAGGTTCTGGAGAGGTACCTACTTCCAAGATCATTCTAGTGGTTGGCAGAATCTAGTTTCTTGCTGCTTGTCAGCCAGAGTCCATTCTTCAAAAACAAAACCTGAACTACCCCACTCCCCGTCTTGTAAGATGCCAGTTCCAACTTCAACACAACCCGCACATACATCTCACCCAAATCATCACCTCCTCACTGTCAATTACCCTGACTTCCACTTTTGGCCTTGTCCTCTGATTGCATTAGGCTAACCCAGGTGCATGGTATTAGAGGAAAAAAGAAAAGGCCAGAAAGAATGCAACAGCAATTTTTTGAGGATGTTAACATTGAAGGACTCAGTAGAGCGCTTGCCTGGAATTACATAGCCCTGAGTTTGATGTCTAACACTCACTGTAAAAGGAAGGGAGGAAGGCAACAGTAGGGAGAGAGAGAGAGATGTATGAAGGGAGAAAGGAAACTATTGTATGTGTAATTATTCATTGAACTCTCACCCCCCCCCAAAAAAAAAACAGTGTTTGGTCCACTCAAAGCCTAATAGGAACAATATTTATATTGTTAATAGTTGTTACAGAAAGTACCTTGTTTCTATAGAACTGCTGACTACAGTAACTCAAGTAATAATATCAAGACAACTACACAGCATTTGGACATTTGCTGTGTTATAGTAAAGTGTGACTACATATGATCAACCTATTCCCTGATACTATTTTAGCTACCCATTAAGAAATTCCTCCTTGGATTGGAGATGTACTGCTTGTCTAACATGTAGGAATCTTGATTCATTCCCTAGAAGGGCATAACACCAGGCTTATTGGCCAATGCCTGCAATGCCAACGCTCAGGAAATGGAAGCAAGAGTTTCCAAAGTTCAAGGTCATTTTCAACTAATTAGGCTACATGAGATGCTGTCTCAAAAAAAAAAAGTTTCTTTTTGTTGTGCTGTTTACTGACACAAAGAGCCATTGTAAGACAAAAGATAAACCAGACCCATGAGCAGCCATCCGGGAGGCACTTTATGGAACACACCTTTGCAACATGGCGCAACAAATGTTACAGGAATTAAAACTGGCTTTTGTATTAACTTCTATATAACCAGACTGCCCTTAAACTCAAGATCCTCCTGCCTCAGTCTCCTGCTTTAGGGAATTCTAGGTTTGCGCTATCACATTGACTTTTTGTTCACTGTTTTACTTGGGATTCTTACCGTGAGGAAAATGGAACTCAGGGCTTCACACATGCTAATCATGTGTTCTACCACTGTTCTGTACCCTTAGCCCTTACAAAAATGTTAGCTTCATGGGTATGAATAGGCTTCAAACTGGCCTAACAGGCTTAGGATTTTATCCACTATCCAAGAAGTAATAGAAATGGGGAAAGGGAATGTTACACTTAGTTGGGACTCAGAAAAATAGGTAGTCTTAGTGGTGAAAATAGAACGAAGCTGTTTTCTTTGGGTTTTTTGAGACAGTCTCATAGTGCCAACACTGGCCTCAAACTCTATTGCCAAAGATATTCATCAACTCCTGATTGTTCTGCCTCTACCTACTGAGTGCTGGGATTATAAGCATAGCTTTTAATGATTTTACTAAGTTATAATTTTTATACTATGTAGTTAAACTACACAGCTCTGTGGCTTTTGGTAGACTAAGAGATGTGTTGTCTTCCTCATTGTATGATTTTAGAACATTTTTACTGTCGTCCCTACAACTTCATAGTGTTTATGAGTCACTCTTCATTCAGACCCATGTTCTCCTCATCCTAGTCTAAGGCAATTGCAGTTCCATTTTCTTCCTACAAAATACAGTATACTTAAGAGTAAAACTGGATTCCTATCTAGCAGGTAAAAACTCTAAAGATGTGAAGGAAATTAATAATAGTAATAATACCTAAGGTTAGGAATATAGTTCAGTGATAAAGCTCATACCTTCTTTTAGACTTCTAGAAATAAGACCTACATACAATTAAGTTGAAGGCCTCAAAGTTGGTCATCTGATTAGTGGCCACTATCTACTTGTTAATTATTATGCTTTGTGGCCACTATCTACTTGTTAATTATTATGCTTTAATTAACAGTTTATGGAGACCTGAAGTTGATGCTGAATTCCTGAATGGTAGATACACCACAATTAAGACTATTCCACGTCACCCAAAAGGAGTACGACTGAGCTTCAATATTGGAGCACGCAATAATCGGATACTTACGATACTATTGCACAACTATTTGCTCACTAGATGTTGAGGAAGCCATGTTTATTTTAGGTCAACTTAAAATATATAAGGTTATCTTTTACATATAGGAAACTTGTGGATGTCTTAATACACAAGAAGTCTTTTCCTATCTTCTTCCTTTGTGAAAAACAGGAAAGTTGGGAAAATAAGCCAACCTTAATTATTTATACTTAACGTCTGTCTGTTTGCCTGCCCCATCCCGTGTGTGTGTGTGTGGGTGTGTGTATGTGTGTGGGTGTGTGTAGGCCAGATGCTGATCTCTGGAACTAGAGCTACAGGCATTAATGAGCCACCTGATGTGGGTGCTCAAAAATAAACTCAGGTCCTAACTGCTGAGCCATCTCTCCAGACTTTCAAACAAACCTCAGTCATGGCATGAATTAGCCCACACTCCTATACAGTTACTCCCGTAGCTGTATTAAGTCTTAATATGATGCTCACAAAGAAACATCCACCCATGTTTACTTGAAGATGGAGGTTACAACCACTTTGCCCCAAATAAACACATGGATGCTATATTAATTATAAAACTGTTGGCCAGCTGTGTGTTGGTGGCACACGCCTTTAGTCCCAGCACTCAGGAAGTAGAAGCAAGTGGATTTCTGTGAGTTTGAGTCCAGGCTGGTCTATAAGAGCTAGTTCCAGGACAGCCTCCAAAGCCACAGAGAAACCCTGTCTCAGAAAACGAAAATGAAAACAAAAACAAAAATCTGTTGGCCAATGGCTAGGGCTTCTTACTGGCTAGCTCTCTCTTAATTATTAACCCGTAACTACTAATCTATGTATTTCTATATGGCCTTATCCGCCAGAGAATGCCTGGTGCCTCCTATCTTCCCAGTCTCTACATGGTGTCTCTCACTGCCACTTCTCTTGCCTCTCCAGAATTCTCGTCTCCTAGCCCCGCCTGTCTTCCTGCCTCTACTGACCAATCAGTATTTTATTCATCAACCAATAAGAGAAACATACACAAAAGGATATCCCCCACCATTCATTCACTAGACTATGTACTAGAGCAAATAAGCAATCTAATACATGTCTAAAGACTTTTATAAGGGAATGAAATTAAAAGAATTTTCTGCCATTCCTCACTTAGCAATCAGCTGAAACAATCAAAGTATACCATTCCATCTGTGCTCTGATTATATTGTGCATAGAAGTCTGTAACTCATAAATAAGCCATGGTACTGTAGGAATTGAGAGATCAAGGACATGCTGAATTATATATCAAGTCTTAGAAAAACAAAGACAAGATAAAAGGTGTCTGTGTGTACATGTGTGTATATCGTAAGTGGAAAACAGAAAACAGTCTCTGTCACAGAACAATACTAACCCTGTTTCTGACTTAGCTTTTGAGGTGATGTTGAAAAGGGTATGTTTAAAAAATGAGGAAAGAAACTTGGGCTTTGTGACTATGTATATAAGATGAAACTGGAATGAAGTCTGACTTGGCAGTCTCTGAAGTACTCCAGTCAGCTGTAGACCAGTAAGACCAATAGGAAGTTGCTTGTACCTAGGACTGCTGTCATATATTAGATTGTCAAACCCTGGATTATGAGGCATGCATTTCATGCATTTGAATTCCAGCATGTAGAAGAAAGTCTGCCCTTCATTCGACTGTGAAAGCATATTGCTACTTGGTCTTTGTGGTAATATGCTCTTCCATACTCTTCCGTTAAAGCTGTTTGATTCTGCTGTTTAGAATGGATGGACTAACTAGAGACCTCAGGACTAAACCAAGGATCAGGCAAACTACCTATGATTCTAGAGTCTCAAGGAGAGCTTGTGCACATTCTTCAAACAGACAGATTTCACCCCACCCCCACAGAATCTTCTTAAACCACCCCCTGGGTGATTCTTTGCCCTTTAACTTATTCTCATACAGAGAATTGAGGTACCAGAGCTTCACACATATGAGGCAAGAGCTCTGTCATGGAGCCATATTTCCTGCCTTCTCACTACCTTGTTTTTTGTTTTTGTTTTTGAGACAGTATCTCACTGAGTAGACCGGGGTAGCCTAGAACTGACTATGTAGATTTGGCTAGCCTCAAATACATAGAGATCTGCCTACCCTGGTTTTCCTGAGTGCTGAGACTCATGTGTCACTGTGCCTGGAAGTACATTTTTTTCAAGGCAGGGTCTCACTAAATTGCCCAAGTTGACCTTGAACTGTCTCTGTAGCCCAGTAAGACTTTTAACCCTGCCTTCACCAGCAGACCTAGCTGCCTAGTGTTCTCTCTCTCTCTCTCTCTCTCTCTCTCTCTCTCTCTCTCTCTCTCTCTCTCTCTCTCTCTCTCTCTCTCTCTCTCTCTCTCTCTCTCTCTCTCTCTCTCTCTCTCTCTCTCCTCTCTCTCCCTCCCACCCTCTCTTTCTCTCTCTCCCCCTCCCTTTCCCTCTCCCTCCCTCCCCCTCCTGTTCCTTTTTTTTTTTTTGAACTAAGGGTCGCACATAGCCCAGGCTGACTCCTGTATTATAGCTGAGGATGACCTTGAATTCCTGGCCTCCATACTAGATTCACCATACTGAGGACTTTGAGACGTGCCAGATTAAACAATATGAACAATGGACAAGGAAGACGGGAAGACTGAACTGTCCTTTCCTATTAGGGGTTAGCTGCTAATTGCACTGAACCATACTTAGGAGCATAAATATATTCTTAGAATGTTGGACTTTAGACTTATTATTGAAGTACTTTCTTAGGTAGGGTTTGATGCTAGGATTTTGTTGATACTAAGCACTTGGAAGTAAAAATTGTTTAGCACTGTTTGCATAAGAGAATAAGGAGATGAGCAAAAAGAAAGCTGGTTTAAGTGGGTCATTTTAAGGAAACAGCTATCTTTAGAATGATAAGGTTTTTTTCAATGTGAGAGAAAATATAATTTACTGTAGTCCTTAAGCTGTGGAACCTATATAGCTGATAAGAAAGTTCTCTCCACAAAAACCAATCCCTGTTAGTAACTTTAACTATTGTATTGCTAAAATAGAAAACTTTTGTACTGTTACATTTTATAGAAATTGGTACTGTAACAGAAAGTGAAGTGTTAACATCTTCTGTTGTTGGTTTTATAAGCACATGAAAAATAATAAAGTGTATGAGCATTGGCATTTCTTTATTTATTTATTTCAGTGCTAGAACTAGAGCCTAGGGCCCTGGGAGTGTGAGACAGCTCAGCAGGCAAAGGCACTTGGCACCAAGCTTCATCCACATGAGATCACCCCTGTGTTCACGTAGTAGAAAGAGAGAAGTGACCTTTTTTTTCTTGTTTTTCTTGTTTTTTGTTTTTTCTTTCAAGACAGGGTTTCTCTGTGTAGCTTTGGAGGTTGTCATGGAACTCGCTCTGTAGACCAGGCTGGCCTCGAACTCACAGAGTTCTGCCTGCCTCCGCCTCCCGAGTGCTGGTATTAAAGGTGTGCACCACCAACGCCCAGGTGAGAACTGACTTCTACAAGTTGTCATCTAACCTCTTCCATATGTATGCCTGTACACAAATACACAAAATAAAAAATGTAATTAAAAAAAAAGAGCCTGGGGCCTTAAGCATCGTAGGCCATGGTCTACTACTCTGCTGTCTCCCCAGCTCAAATAATATTTAAATATAAATATGATTTTTTTTCCTGACCACTGATAATTGGAGTCCAAAGCAATAATGATCCTGATATGATAAATCAGCAAAGTATGACTTTGACCTCTCGGCCTCTGTGTTCAATTAACCTTATAGTTCTACATTCCACAAAGTGATGCTGTAATTATGTGGTATTTCTGTATAAGGCTGGTGCGATGGTTACTGTCAGTTCACCACTTGATGAGGTCCAGAATCAATTGGGAGACTGCTTCTGGGTATGCCTGTGGGGGGAATATCGTTAACTGAAGTAGGAAGACCCACCCACTGTGGGTAGCACCATTCCCTGGGCTGTGATTTCTACTGTGGGAAAAGTAGAAAATGGGCTAAACACAAGCATTCATAGCTGCTTCAAGTTCCCATTGCTGTGATTTCCTCACCATAACAGTCTGTAACCTCAAAAGGCCAGTTAAAATACACATTTTTTCTTCTCTAAGTTGATTTTACCACGGCAATGGGCTATTAAACAAAAAACAAAAAACAAAAAAACATTAAGTTGGCAGAAGGGAATGGATCTAGGAGAAGCTAGAAGTAGAGCAAGTGTGTGTGGGGGTGGTGAAAGGGGCTAGTGGCAAAATGATCAATCTACACCAGGTTTCTTCATTCTAAGGGCATTTTGAAGCCACACTACTCTAATTAGCCTTGGGACTAAAAAGTTCTCATCTCCAGGTCATTTGCTCTGTTAGGAATTGGAAATATAGGAGTAAAATAAATACATTTTAATAAATTGTTTTGAAACAGCACTTCATATAGCCACAGCTGACCTCAAGGTTGTTACATAGCTAGATTTGAACTCTTGCTCTCCCTGCCTCCACCTCAAAGGTGCTGTGATTACAGATGTATCCAAATGTGCCTAACTAAACAAAACAATTATTATAAAATTGTTTCCATGAGGCTTACATTCAAGGATATCGATTATCTGTCAGTCAGGTTCTGTTTGCCTCTCAGGGAGCAAGTGACTGTGTCAGCAATATTTGTTTAATTGTCAAAACTGATTGATGGAGCATCTCATGAGTACAGGCCAGAGACGCTACCAAAAAAAAAAAAAAAAGGTGCTACAATGCACAGCAGAGTCTTTCATGGCAAGGGATTATCTTGGCCCAAATGTAAGTCCCTGTTCAAGAAGGCAATGAAAAGTAAAATACAGAGTATGACATTTATGCATGTATCTTACATTTAGAGAGGCCCCTTTGTAAATAATAGAAATGTTTTTCGTATGCCTATTAAATTATGAAAAACAGAAATTACATATGCTCTGAATTACTACTAATAAATGACTAATGCATGAGGTCTGACATCCTTCGAGATGTAGAGGGTTGAAACTGAAGTTGCTTATGCTTTTAAACATGTTAAAATTTTATTATGTGTGTGTGTGTGTGTGTGTGTGTGTGTGTGTGTGTGTGTTTGC